AAAAAAAAAAAAAAAAGGAGATTCACCTGAAATTTTGCCAACCAACCATGATGAACCTTTGTTGATATTTTACCATTTATCCTCTCAGATTGTGAATATTTGAGTGTGTTTGTGTTTGTGCATGAGGGAGAGACAGAGAGAGATTGATTATACATACTGTTCTCAAACCTATTTTAAATTGTGAATGTCCTTCAGTTATTCAGCCCTCATTAAATAGAGGCCTATGTCTCTGAAAGAGCTCTATTGTATTGTTAAGCCATATTTTATTTATTAATTTTCTGGAAATTTTAATTTCTAGTTTTTTTTCCTATTATTAAGATTGCTGTAGTGGCTATAGAATACAAAGGTATAATATAAAGAGAAACAGAGAAAAGGTCCAGAGAATAAATAATTACAGTACAAGGCATGAGTGTCACCATTAAAAAGTCAAGGAATGTGAATTTGAAAATTCACCCAGGATTCTTTGAAAAACTATTCAACTTCATTATAATCAATGAATTACAAACTAAAGCAATTTGGATGCCATTTTCCCCTTACTGTATTACCCCAAATTAAGAAATACGTATCCAGTGTTTTCCTATCGCTCTGACTGATACCTGAGTATCTTTCATAGGATGTTGATGGGTGTAGTCTTTCTGCAGGATGGTCTGGCTTTATTAAAATTGATTCAGGTTTGGAAGTTTATCTTAAGGAAATAATTCCATAATTGTGCAGAGTTGCAAAGGTGGTATAAAGAATGTTTGTTATAACATGAGGGATCACTGGGAAGAAGAAAGCTAAGTGACTCTTAGAAGGGGATTTATTAAATTATGATTATGTTTGTGCTTTGAAATCTTACATTGCCATTAAAATGATGGTGGCAACCTTCATTTGTTGCCATGGAGAGAAGCCCACAGTTTTTTTTTAAGTGCAGAGTAGGTAGGGGGAAGTGTAGTTTCAACCTATTTTTATTTTTTAAATAAAAGTGTTTTCTAATATCCAGAAAAATTCTGGTGAGCTAAATTCCACATCTAGCAATGATTATATTTGTGTGTCGTGTGTATGGCTAAACTCGATTTTCGTGTTTATAGTTTTCTGTATTTTCTTTATTTTTCTTACAATGATTATATATCTCTTTTTTAGTTCAGAAAATAAAAACCCTTTAAGAAAATACATTCATTCCTTTTGAAGCAATGACACCATTCCTTGTACTGTATCCTAAGTGATTAAAAAGTGGACTGAAAATTATTCTCAAGAATGTAATCTTCCCCCAGTAGTCCCCATATCGTTACATGGCACCAGTGTCCATCGAGCTGCCCAGGCCAGAAGCTGGACATCATCCTTGAGTCCTCTCTTTCACGTACTCTGTACATCCTATTCCTAGGTGAAGGTACTTGTCATCTCTGTCTTCAGAACATCCCAATGTGCCCCCCCCACTGCCATGCCGGTGCAGACCGCCATCGCCTCCGTCCAGTCTCCTGAGTGGCTGCTCTGCATCTGCCCACCCCGAATTACAGTCCATTTGTCACACTGCCACTGCGATCCTCTTTAAACAGAACTGTCCTGTCCTTCCTAACCCACGGTGATCTCTGAAGAAATTCCACATGTCTTCCTGTATCTCACAAGACCCTGCGTGGTACGGCTCCTGCCTCCTTCTTTGCCTCACCTCGTAACACTGGCTTGTTCCCTCTTGCTCAGGCCACACTGGACAAATCTGGGTTCCTGGACAACTCAAAGCTGACTCTCGCCTTACGTTCTTTCTGACTGGAACCCTCTTTACACCCACATTTTTGCATGGCCAGCTCTCATTATTTAGATCCCATCTTTAATTCTACTTCCCTATCACCCAGTTTAAAACGTCAGCTCGTTTACTCATACTGCACATCACCTTGTTTTTGTTTGTTTTCCTTATTCTCGTCACCTCCAGGACTCATCATCCCTAGTTTATTTGGCCACTTGGTCACTGTTAATACCCTGCTGCTAGAATATAAACCTTGCAAAAACTGGATTCCTGTCTGATATGTTCCCCATACTCCTGATCTTGACCTTTGCATGGTGGCTACTGAGTAAATAACTGCTTGAACGATGGGCGCCTGGGTGCTCAGTTGGTTAAGCGACTGCCTTC